GGAGCCACATCGTTGGCCTTCTCATCAATGTCAACGTTGTCAAAATGAGTGGACTTCATGTGATGAGTAGCCATTATCATGGAAGTGAGAGGCATTGGCCCCGACCCAACAAAGGCTACCTTGTGTGGATGCACCACCCCATTGTCAAGGAGAATCTTGTGCTCCAAGTTGGCTAGGAGAACATAGTTGCCATAGTAAGGGAAGAGATTGAGATTGTTTAGAGGTTGAGGAACATTCACAAGGAGTGTGGCGAATTCAAGCTCCAAAAAGCCCTCGGCTCGGCCGCAAAGATTGATGAGACTCTCACGCATAACTTGGGCTTCTTTGGACAAGTCCATGATATCTATGTCACATGGAAGAGTGCATAATTTGACCAGCTGAGAGAAGAGGGCATTGACTTGCTTTGAAGGTCGAAGAGAGTCAAGTTTGGAAATGCTTGAATGAAGTTGTGTAATGCGAGCTATGAGAAGCTGGGCAGGAATTTGGGTTTCCGAGTTGGAGATTTGGAGGGAAGCCATTGGTGATTAGTGAATACGTTGTCGTTTAGATTGGAGTATATGGATAGAAGCTCTGGTTTGGGTCTTGTGGAAAGGCTTTTCCATGTATTTATAGGAATTCAGAATTTGGATTGCATCTGCTACGTTTAAAAATCTCTAGATATGGTCAACTCAAACGGGGTGCTTCATGCCACAGGATCTTGGTTTGTTTCATATAGGTTATACACATACACATCAAATGCTGAACTTTTCTTCCGCCAATATTTTCTTTTTTTGGATGAGAAAATAATATAAACAGACATTCTGTAAGAATCCTTTTATACAAATATGTGCCTGGTGATTTTTTTTTTCTTTTTCTAATATTGAAACATGACATAGGTCCCAATTTAGAATTTTCTCCTCAATTAAATTTCTTCTTTAAAAAAATTGCATCGTGTGTACGTCGAGTGCTAGCATATTAAAAAAGAAATAAAATCGTACCAAATCTTATACATGAAATTGGATGATCACACGTCAATGGGATCTAGCTAAGTGGAAAAAGGCCTTGACTTGCTCATTTGAGGTATCAAATTCGAACCCCATGACATTTTGGTTGTGTGTAAGAGAGAAATCCCTCCCCTGTTATTAACATTATCACATACAAAAAAAAATTAAAAAAGATGGATGATCACACACCACCTCCACCATTATTAAATTTATGAGAGTGCTTGTGCCATCAAATCCAAAATATTATTGGTTAATACCAAGTCCTAGGATCGAAGATGCCAAAAGGACATTCCTTCCACACGCGTGTCCTTCCATGAATGGAAATATAATGAAGTAAAGGAACAGATCCTATAACTCTTTCATGTTCACACTTGAAATTGAATGTGAACGGAATTTAGAATCAGAGCTTATTGAGGTTTGAAGAGGCATGGGAAATGCCCGAGATAATCTCCTGGAGGGTCAAATTAATTGTATGTCCAAATTTTAAAGATATCTTATTTACATGCTTAGCGGAGAAAAAAAATTATATAGATATTTGGTCATTTCTACCCAAAATATAATATTTTGACTAGTTGTTGCCAGATATAATTACGAAAGTTAAATTAAAAACCCCACAGCTGTAATAGCAATTATTAATTGGCAACGAATTATTTCAAAACCAGGCAAATATGTATGAGTACAAGTACGGACACTTCTCGGGTCGGACACTCCTCGAACACTAGTGTTCAACAGTCAACGTTGTGTTCACGGTAAAGACACTTTACAGACACGGATCAGTTCATACTCATGGTCAACTAATGTATTTTTCTTTTTTAGTCAAGGGTCAACTAATGTGTTATTAATTCAATTATAATTCATATAAAACTAATAAACTACATTTGCAAGACTTGAAAACCTTGAATTTCACTATATATGGTATTGTGAAATTGAACTATGAACATCAATATTTTATTTTTGTTTAAATATAAAAGCATTATTATAATAATCAGAAATTAATTGTTGTGTCCCTATGTGTTAATTTTTTTGAGATTTGTTGTTTTTCCGTGTCCCCGTATCGCGTATCCATGTCCGCGCAACATAGGGGTCAACTAATGTGTTATTAATTCAATTATAATTCATATAAAACTAATAAACTACATTTGCAAGACTTGAAAACCTTGAATTTCACTATATATGGTATTGTGAAATTGAACTATGAACATCAATATTTTATTTTTGTTTAAATATATAAGTATTATTATAATAATCAGAAATTAATTGTTGTGTCCTTGTGTCTTAATTTTTTTTAGATTTGTCGTTTTTCCATATCCTCGTGTCGCGTATCCGTGTCCGCACAACATAGAGTACAAGTTTAAGGTTTAGCTCAATATGGTAGATTTTGAGCATAGTAAAAAAGAAGAGAGATTTAAGACCAATTAAGCAGTGCCAACGGTTCATAGTTCATTGATAAGAGCATTTGCCTGCACATCACTTATCTCAAGTTCGAACCCCAATAACACATTTCCTCTCCTCCTTTCAAACTTTGACAAACAAAAAAAATACAAATCAAGTAGTTGAGCCCAGAGAAAAGACCAATCAGTCAAACTCGCGGAACCAGCCCTACCAATCTTAATTAG